ACTTTCGTCACGAGCGACTATTGCTTGTTCCCCAAATTTGTGTTGTTGTCTAGTTGGGGACAACTACTAACTTACCTCTGTCTTTATAACAAGTTAACTACCTTCTGCAGATAGTTCCTCGATATTTTTTTGGATTTTATTATTAGTTGCTGTGTGAGTAAAATAAGGACACTCAGAAGATACACCTGAGAAGAAACGGCATTAGTAGTACAACTTAAGTTCATGTACTACTAATGCGAAGAAATTAAATTTGTTTCATATTCCGCCCTCTCGCCTTCTTGTTAAATTTTACTTCTACAGGACAAACTTGTTTTTTGCAGCATTAAACGTGGTTGTTCGTTTTTTTTCTTTTGTAAACCAAATGGCCTTTCTCTCATTTTCCCCGATTTATGCAACATTATTTCCATGGTGTTTAAATGATTATCTCTGTCCTTAATAGGGGAGAGTTTTCTCTTATTTTGCCTTCTCACTCCAGTTGTAAATGACCGTTTAAAGCCAAGTACCTAATGACACATGAACATATTTATAGTGTTATACTCCTTAAGTTGACTTACATCCGCTTGGTGCACCCTGGGCAACGTACACTCATATGGCAAAATAGTCTATAAACCGACAGTTGACTTCTGACTTCAAGCTGCCATGACCCCACTGTATGTCATATTCCTCCACTTCCACAGTACTCATCTTACCTTTTCTCTACCTTTGTGTCTGTCTGTCTGTCTCTTTTACATCTGTGTCTCACTCGCGAATTTTGTGACTTTGGTGTTCCTCCCCTCTCAATCCCGAAGTCCACTAAAGGACTGATCTTAACTATCATTTATTTATTTATTTCAAATGGCAGGTGTTATGATAGGTGTCATTAGCCCTTTAGTTGACTTCGGGCTTCACAGAGGGTAGGAGGAACATCAAAGTGGCAAAAAGTCGAGAGGGGGACAGAACAATGTTTACAGATGTAAAAGAGATAGACAGACAGACACAAAGGTAGAGAAAAGGTAAGGTAAGATGAGTACTGTGGAATTATTCGAATATGAAATGCAGTGGGGTCATGGTAGTTTGAAGTGAGAAGTTAACTGCCGGTTAATAGACTTTTTGCCGTATGAGTATACGTTACCCAGGGTGCACCACGTGGAGGTAAGTCTATCGCACACCCCATCTTAACTACCATAAAGTCTGCCATTTGATATAAATAAATACGTTTTAAATTCACGCTTAAGCCTAGTCAAGTTTGTGAGTTGTCTTTCTTAATCCAATATCAGGTTTCGTTTATTTGGCGACCTCCAGGATTGATCTCATCTATTCTTTGAACTTTAGATTTAATGTGGTTAAGCTCATTTGATAATCTACTTATTATCGATTGCAAATGTGAAGCAAGCAAACTTGGGATAGCCACCTTAATCCCAAATTGTGTGGAATTCTATGTTGATCTAATTAACTGAGCTCTGTTAGAATTAATTTATGCTTCTTCATTTGTATTTTCGATCTGCTTTTTTTTGTATGCAGTTTGCAAAAACTAGTGGTACGAGGTGCTCTCTTAATTCCCCGAAATGCTCGTTGTCTTGTTTACTTTCTTGCACTCTCGCTCTGGTTAGAATAAACTTGCTCCCTATCTGCCTGTATCATAGTTCCTGGCAATAAAACGTATCTATTTGAATGTAGTGGTGTAATTAGCTTATTTATTTATGCGCTATCAATTAATTGCCTTGTTCTTATTTTTACTAAATTCATCAGCAAAAGTTTGTATCTGATATGCAGGTTAGGTAATAAGGTATATGTGTATGTCTTTCTCAAGGATTTTTAAAATAAAATGGTGATATTTTTCTGTTCTATTTTTTATTGAGCAATTCGATTTGAGGTATTTAAAGCTATTCTTACTCAATGAATCTAAAGTATTGCAAGTCTTAGTCATATTCGTGCTTCTGGTAGCGCGAGATGTCGACATATCTCAGTGAGGTGGATTTGGAGTTCATAGAAAAATCAGAAGGATCAGCCCTGCTTATATTTGAATTCTGGAAGTTTTGAGTTGGTCACTTTCTCATAAGGGCCGTAGTTCCTTGTGAGAAATTCCAAAGCTCAGATTTCATGGTTTGTGTTCCTCGGGTCTATGATAGTCAGGGCTTATTAATTGAATTCACTTGGTCATGGAGTGTTATTTCAGCTAAAGCAGGTAGTTGAGAAAGCGCAAGTTATTTGCTACCTGAATTGCGTATTTCTAATTCTTCCGTCTATTTTACCAATAGCTCATATTGTCTGTCTTTCTTCCATCTTAGATTTATGCTTATATCTACTTGTGTTAATTATTTCTAATTGAATTTTTGCCCATTTGGACAAATTTTACCTTTCTTATTTTGAACTTGAGATTTAATTAGCTCAAATACTAGGCCCTTCTGGGCGATATCGACTATAAAGCAGAATAAATTGGAATGAATGGAGCCGTCTAAGTCTAGTTTTGAGTAATACCTTATTATGCTTTTCTCTCCCTCTCCACGCTCTCATCCTCCCATAGGTAGATCCGATCAAATCTATTCCTTCTGAAGATTGGTTCGATCACTTGTAACTCTCACTGGACGAGTAGAGTATGTTCTCATCTTCTAAATTAACTTCGCCTTTTTCCCCTGATCGGTAAGCTTCTTATAGCACAGCTTTGTGTAATGCTGACACATAATTTACTTTTGCGGGGGTAAAAATTCCGTTTATTTAATGGTTCCCAGGAGATCTTGCTCTCAATGCATCATACTTGTTCGCATTTTCAATTATTTTCACTAACCACGTAGTAGCAGCAGCAGGAGCATAGTCGCGTGATCCAAATATGTGGTTAATTGGTTGGGTACCAGAGGCATGGGTCTTAATTATTCAAAATTTTCGAACTTCTCATTCGTAGCCGACTGACTGTCAGAGTAATAGAGCAAAGGGGTTAGCCATGACACTGCTCTCATGTCCTCTCTTGACTTGGAAGGTGTGAGAATTGATCTCTGGTCGCCGGCAACACATTTCTGGTGATACGGATAGTCAACCTCGATGACAATTCCCGATTAGACTGACTCTACCTAAGTCAATTGTTGATTACATTTTCTTTAACGGAGCTGGGCGTTTTCCCCTTCTAACGGCAAATATTATATTGAAAATATCCATTACCTTTGATCTTTTTCATAATTAATATGTAGCCTTGAGTTCTTTTAAATTACTTAAAGATGTTTCCCACGCATCCTCTGCGGATAATGCCACAACATATTAGTAGACTAGGCGGGAAAGAATTGTTGGATTCACATTGTTTTTGCATGTTAATTAAATGAGCTCATTATTTTCCATTGCTTTATTCCCTTACTCACATTCAATTGCCAAGGCACGTGGTAGACATGATAAAGTGGATAAATGCGACTGCAAATTCCACCCGGACGGCGGTGGGAGGGGTGGAGGGACAATGAGTCACCTCGACACCTCACTGCCATCCTCCTTTCATTCTTCATTTTGTGCCTTTGGTGGCTTTTTTGCAACTTAACTTTCCCCACCTTTCCGTCTGACTGTCCCATATATTGTCGCTTCCGTCGTTCGTCACTTCTTTGTCTGACTCAAAATTTTACCAGTCGCTACTTTAATTACCTCCCGAACCATAAGACAATAGGAAGTCTTACAGTAAAATTAAGCGGATTTTATGCGAATTTTGCGATATTGGATGACTTCCATCTGGCCACTTTAAGCTCTTCTTCCTCGTTTTGAAAATTAACTTCATTGAAAGGCAACTTATTTCGTACTTGAATGCTTTTTAAGTACATTTTCTCAATCGGAACGCATCCTTTGCTTCGCTCACATATTTAATTCACCATTTGCCAGTTATTTCAAACTATTTAATACCGATTTTTGCTTTCGCTCTGCTATTGGGACATAATTTAAGCTCTGTGTTTCCGCCGTCTCTGTCTCCCCCCCCCCACCCCACCCCACCCCACCTCTTGGCAATTCAGCTGCCTAAACCTAGAAAGGCTGCAGTTTAGTTATATCAAGCTCTAAACTAGAAGCTCTTGTGCGATTGTTGAGATGCTCGAGCTCTGTTCGATTTTAATAAGAAATGTAACACGACCTACATGATTGATATGCTGACAAAATGGAAGTTTTTTTTTCATATTCGTACTAATGTTAAATCCGTTTGAATACTCAAAATATTCGTATCAAAAGATGTATAGGTGACAATATTCAGCACATCTGATCGGAGTAAAATATTGGGTGATTTCGACCTTGAAGGGTAAACGATTCAATTGACTTCTAGAAGCAATCAGTGCCATACTGAGCTATCATCATCTCGAGTTAGCTGATTATGGTAGATGTTTCGTTGAAAAAAAATAAATTGCATTCTATAGCATATGTTTAGTGAAGTGTTAATTCGACTACATTCTTATTTTATATAGTAGATGTTACCTCACTGTGTTTATTAACGTATTGCATATTTCCGATCTTTAAACCTGCTATCTTTTATCAATTGCACGCCTAACTAATGTCCTACTTCTAATGGCCTTAGTCGTTATGGTTATCTACTGAGTAGTTGGCTGGTGTTGAACTGCGCTCATCTGACACGTCACGGGTTTGATTCCCATCAGCATGCACTCAGTGAGGTATGGGTTAAATCTAGTTAATATATATTGCGCGTGGTAGCATTTATATCTCGTAGAGTAGACTTTGGATTGTAAATATCAACCCCAATATGAGCGTTGTAAAATGCTCTCCTAAATGGGCTTGAGAATTGGCGTTAATAGAGCTATGCCTGACCTGTTAAAGACGTCTGTCCAGCTAGAGGGCACGAGATTGATTCGATTCGGCTCACACCCAGTGATTTAGGGGAATTGGAAAGGTAAGAACCAAGTGTCTGCGCCGAAAGGGTATTTGGCTGGTTGGGCCCTTGGACAGGAAGAATCGTCTGAGAATTTTAATTATACGTCAATATGTAGAGGGAAGCATATTTTTTTCCAATATTTACTGACTGCTTTTCTGTTCTTTAGATCTCCAAGTGTACAATGGGGATCCTAGAAAAGCCCTCGCACCAGTTCTTCTCTTGGCTTTTTAATAAGGGATATAATGTCAAGGGGGTCATTCGTGATTCCTGGCACGCAATCCGATTTTCCCTGGCATCTGCAGCTGGAGCTCTTAGTCAAAAGGGAGCTGATGGAGGTGTCGGAGGTTATATTGTCGAAAGCTCCATCTCTGAAGAGCGTCTTAGTGTAAGCGATTACTTAATTGGCAATTGTCAAATTTACAATTCTTTGGAATTTCTTTGGAGAAGAAATAAATGAATTAAACAGCATGAGAAGTTCGCAGTAGACTATTCTTCTATAAACCCTTATGTACGGTGGCAATATGCCAGTGGATCTCAAAACCACTTTCTCTAATGTGGCTGGCAAGTAGGCTACCGGAAGTAATGCAATATTTACAGTAGATTCATATATTCTAATTACTGTAAGGATCAAAACACAGTGGTACTGTGAAAATTTGCTTCATATTCTGTTAAATATATTCTTGAGGTGTTGATGTCTAAAGTTTAGGCCACAGCCGGGTTGATGACGTATTTTGCTTCTCCCGACCAAACTGTTAACGTTGCAAGACTAGAATGCCTCCACATACGTGTTTATGATGTGCCCCCCCCCCCCTGTTGGATGTGAATTTTCCGTACTGAGACAAAGCATGCACACGGGTGACTTGAGCCACGTTTGTCTTTGTTCTCGCACTTCATCCATTTACTTCAGCTTGTTCACTAGAATGTTTTCTTGGCCTTTTCTTTTTCAATTCCCTTTTTTTTACAATTTTGTTCGCTTCCAGCCTTGTCACATAAATTGGAAAAAGAGAGGCAATCAAATACCATCCTTAAGTGCGTATTTTTTGCTGGTTTCTCTTGGTATCTTTGGGCAGTGCTTAGGCTCCTTTCAGCTCTTTATAGCTGAAGTCCTTTGACAATTTTTGACCACATTAGAAATTTTTTTTGCCTCTAAATAAATCTCATTTTCGAAAGAGGGTCTCTTTGATTGGACATAAGACTCCACCATTAAGCATCGCGTTGGCGCAAATTTGTTTTGAACACGTGTCATTTAATTAGCCAGATTAAGCAGACCATTGGCGCGTCGGCTGTTGTCGTGCCTTTCTTTTGTTTATACTTATGCGCGCCTATGACTTGGGCTTTCATTTTTTTTAACCTGTTACATGCCCCTTTATATACTCTCAGTACAAATGGGGTTTGCTCCCTCTTATTTCCCTTCCACAAAATGCAAAGAAAATGTTTAATATTGCCGTCATTGTTTAAGTGAGCTAAATCAGTGAAGCTGAGGCGGTTTCAATTTCCATTGTGGCAAGAGGAATTTGTAACCTTTCTACTTTTTTCTAACGCTAAGCAAAGTAGAGGTGGATTGTGAAATTGCGCCCCCGTAAAGCCATAGTCTCTACTCATGAGATTAGTGCAGTCAAACCGCCCGTTTTCCCAAAATGTGGTCTCAACCAGATATCATCTCTTCACGCAAATTGCGGCCCGAGCTCCAGGCACCTCTCACTATTCTGCTTTCTGCTCTATTGACCATCGTATTTGTAATGGGAGCATCAACTGGTCTCCCATCTCCTCTCCTATTGCTGCTACAATATTGATGAGTTTAAAAATAACTAGTGAAAATTACAACCACTAAAAGTACAGTTAAACATTCTCATTTTTAACTCCACTTGCTAATTATAGCATTCTCCTTCATGCCTCTTTGTGATAAGACGCACTTTTTTCAAGGAGGAGTCATCTGCTGTGGTTTGTGATTCATCCAATCAAATAGCATGACACTGGGGCATATTGGGAATTATAAAAGTTATAAGCCTGCCTGTAGTCCCAAAGTTCATGAATTTTGAACAAAAACTCGCCCGTCAATTCTCCATGGCTTCGGAAACCGGGTTTGGTTGTCGCTTTAACCTTTACTCTCGCCTTCATCCGTCTTAAAATGCAATAGCACCTTAGAAGCAATAGGAGCCATATTATCAGCTTATTTAACGAAAAGTTAATTTGTTAAATCTAAAATGTCCTTTTAACCCGTCTCTATTTTATTCTCATTTTAGCTTCTTATTCGATTGGCTGCTTCAACGATCTCCATAGGAGGAACACTAGCTCTAACGTACTTCCTACTTAAAAGGCTCGATCCCCAGTACAAAGTTCGCCAAGAGGCCCGGAAGAAGGTAAGATCTCTCGGTTTGTGTATGCTACTGGAATTACTTCAATGTCGAATTTATACAGCTTTTGAAGTATATTTGTCCTAGGGAGCAATTGACTTGTATCTGTGTAGAAATAAATATGCAAGTATGCGATTTAATCTCTTCTAGCATTCAACTCTTGAAATCAAATGCTTGCATGTAAACAGCTCAAATGGGTGATAAGAGAGATTTCAAGGTTGAAAAGGTTATAAATGGTCAGTATACTACATCCCCATTACCTCATTACAGTTGCCAACATAATTCTGCAAGAGCACCTGACTTTGTCCTTGGGAGGAAGACCATGACTCTCACTTATGAGTTTAGCAACTGAAGGTTAGACCACTCCTAAATCGAGATCAGCTTTGTTACTTAGTCCTATCGAGTCTAGATTTCATGACTAGCTCTTAAATATAACTGGCGAGAATAGTGAGACCACCTATTGCGCAGCAGAGTACTCACCAATATTGATTGATACAATTACCTCTGTCGCAATTACTCCACTTTCCAGACCAAAAATTTCGGCGTTTTTTTCGTGTGACGTCGCCGCCCAGTTCTCGGACTTGCGTTTTTCACCCCTTCTTCTTGTTGACCGAAATTAGCCAGTGCGGTTGTCACCCTTGTCACTGAATGTCCATTTTTGGGCATTGATCTCATGATCATGTCCCTGCTATACAAAGAACTTTGCTTTGTTTCACATGCGCTGTATATTGCAGAGGAAGAAAACACAGCTCCCAGTATTTCAGTGTATATTATAAATTAAATGGGGGGTGTGTGATAGACTTACCTCCACATGGTGCACCCTGGGCAACGTATACTCACACGGCAAAAAAGTCTATTACCTGGCAGTTGACTTCAAACTACCATGACCCCACTGTATGTCATATTCGACTACTTTCACGGTACTCATTCCACCTTTTTCCACCTTATCTACCTTCGTCTTTGATACACTCTTCTGTTCCCCCCCCCCCCACCTCTTGAATTTTATACCTCTGTGAAGGCTGAAGTCAACTAAAGGGCTAATGATAAACTCTGTGAAGACTGAAGTCAACTAAAGGGCTAATGATAACCGTCAAAACGCCTGCTATTTGATATAATAATAATAAATTAAATGGACTATTCTATGCACACATGATCTCAAAAGTACTCAAATATCGATTTATGGGTTTCCGTGCTCGTACTTGCGAGTGCTATCACTCCATTTCTGTCAATCATTTTCTGTATATTTTATGAAAGTGCTGCTTATGATATGTCAGTGGCGCATAACTTTTAATTATTGTTGTCACACTAAGTGAAGTCTTTGCCATTCACCTATGTTTTTTGAGTGGTTTCTTAGAAGATTTAGTGTCTCAGCTTTAGGGGAACTGTGTGTGGTATTTAAGCCAGTTCCGAAATTTCTATTCTGTTTCATATAAACATTTTCTATAATGGGATAGTAAACACGGGCTAAATGGGTAACCCAACTGTACTTTAGTCAGTTGAAAGCACCACAATTATTCTGCGCATTCGACGTCTGTGTTCAAGGATGTCTATCACTTATGGAGTAGACTTGGTATCAACGCCCAATCTTCGAGGATGTAATCGAGGTGTCGAAGTTTGCAATCAATTAACGGCACGATTTGAAAGTATATCCTATTGTTTATTGTTTCACCACATATTTAGGTTGTTGAGTTGGACAGAGGAGTAGCATCATTGAGATTTCCTAATAATGAACACTCATTGTTCATTCATCGACTAGTGTTTTAATTAATAAGCATATGACCTGTGTCTTTTGAATTGAAAGACACGCTTGTTGACCAACAGGTATCTGGCACGCCTAGATGAATGTTTATGAGCTTTAAATCTTTTCGATTGTAATCAAAGTTATTTACATTCTAATATTGGATTTCTCTTTTCAACAGACCAAAGAAATTCTAACCACTCTTGGCGTATCCCCATCACTAAAATTAACCGACTACGAGGTGTGCATAGCCATTAGTCTCGTAGATGCCTCAACTCTGGAAACTTCTTGGAGTAGCATCGGAGGTCTGGAGGAGATTGTCACAGACCTCTGTGACTCCGTAATTCTCCCTTTTAAGGCCGCGCAAGCTCTCATGCCCCGATCAAAACTTTTCCGAGCTCCCAAAGGAGTTCTTCTCTATGGTCCTCCAGGTTGTGGTAAAACTCTCCTTGCTAGGGCAACTGCTAAAGCTGCTGGGGCGAGGTTCTTTAACCTTCAGGTAAGCAATTCGCTGATATTCCTTCAAAGTGTTCTGATCTGTTAAACAATATGCCCCATACATTGTAACATAATAGGAACTTCACAAAGAGATTCAGTCGATGTCATGCAAAACACAATTTAATTAGTTCGCATCTTACTATATTATGTCAACCTGAGACTGTTCAGGAGTTTATTGTACTCAAATCGGTGTTTGTCAGGAGTCCATCGTATGAGTAGACACTGATTAACTGGTTGTCACGATGACCAGAAAGAGGATGTCTAATTAGAGGAAGTTTGTCAGAACTCAAAGCCGAACGTTTAGGCAGCACATTTGCGTCTGGATAATATCAATCAGTGATTGATCTGCAGACAAAAGGTTCACTTGCTATCTTTCTATGCACTCAATTTTTGCATCAATATTTCCTATTTGTTGACAATGTCTACTTTTTGTCGATAGATATTAAGAAAGCGAAAAATTTGTTTTCTCGAGATCTCGGGTTTTTATCTACTGCAGATTTTCAATTTCAACTTGTAGGTTTCAAGATTTCGCGTTTGTAGTCGAGTTAGTGGCGATTTGCAGTTCAAACCCTCCCCTCCACTCCCCCTATAGTGACGCTGTTTTAGATGCATCACCATGATAGACTAGATAGCCTCTCCCTGAACTTGGGATCTTCGAATAGGAAAGCCTTGTTACAGTAGGAAAATAGAGTGTTGTGTTGGCCAAATGTTAATTGGACAGTTATTAATGAGGAGGAAAGGAAATAGAGAGGACGGGGTTGGGGGGGAGGGATGGACATTAGGAGTAAAGGAAAACAATCCTGAATATGAGGATCAGGTGAAATGAGTTACGATTAGGCAGTAGGCCCGTTTCACGTTCTTTGTTCATTTGTATGGAAAAGGTATGAGTAGGTGAGTAATGCGTAGCGCTTGAGCATGTTCAGCTAGTGCACATAGGTGCCCCAAACCATGGACTAGTATTTTACAATTTAAAGAACCTTTGTGGGTGCACCTTTTTCTAGTCTGTCCTAGAATACATTCTATGCAGGGTGCCTCGAGTATGTATGTAAGGAGGGAATTCAAAGTTTGTGGGAAATCGTTTGTTTTGGGTGTTCAAGAGTGGTGTTCGCTATTTATTTCGGTGAAATTGAGGATTGAAAGCGAATATGCACCCTTGAATCCGCTTCAAATTTGTGATAAGATCATCCATTTGTGTCTGAATAGGTTCAGAAATAGGTCGTCTCCGTTTCAATGACATAATCACATGAATTTAATACTGGATGAACAGTAGTGAGGTGTGCTATTTCATACCTAACGCGGTGTTAGTTATCAGCCTTCACCTATACGATGAGTCAGATATCGACCATTGCAGATGAGAATCTTCACGCAGATATCTACGTCGCCAGTCCATCATAATAGCATTTCGGAGCGTTTCCTGATGCATGCAGTTATATCAGATAAATAAATGAAAAGCAACCCAAGTCCTTTCCGTAAATAAACATGGTGCCACGTTTGCCTTGTCGCGGATAATAATAAATAGCAGATTTCTATTCATTATTTTAAGTCCATTGAATAAATGTCTCCGCAGTTTTTTCCGAGTTTTTATAGCTACCATTATCTCTTTAGCTGAATTCGGGCTTCACAGAGAGGAGGGGGGGGGGGACTGAATAATGATTCACAGATATAAGAGGCAGACAGACAGACACAAAGGCAGAGAAAATGTAAGATGAGTACTGTGGAAGGGGTCGAATACGACATACAGTGGGGTGATGGCAGTTTGAAGTGAGAAGTCAACTGCCGGTTAGTAGACTTTTTTGCCTTATTAGTACACGTTGCCCAGAGTGCACCACGTGGAGGTAAGTCTATCGCACACCCCGGATTCCAGTAGCTTAATTCAACTTGTTTCTCCGGCACATGGTTATAGCTCTCTACAGCTTCCAGGTTGCCCCCAACATTAAGGCACTAATTATTTATTTATATCAAATGGCAGGCGTTTTGATGGC